AATGACATGCAGAATGTGACTTTATCTTCCAAGCAGTTTCATGATCTTATGCAGACTTTACAAAGCTTCAAGGATTCTGCCAATGCTCCTATTCTTTCGAATTCTGTACAAAATTCTGCATTGAGTACAGAAACAAACAGTCATGTCAACCTTGTTTCTACATCAGCTTTGAACACATCTACCAATAACGTCGTGTTAGGTAATCAGTTGTACTGGATTCTTGATACCGGTGAAACTGATCACATCACATCCTCTATTTCCAATCTTGTGTCCATTCATAAAATCAATCCTGTGTATATCAACTTACCAAATGGTTGCAAAGTCATTTCATCTTATACAGGAAATGTCATTTCTCTGCTGATTTTGTGTTACATGATGTTTTATATGTGCCTGAGTTTTGTGTCAACTTAATTTCGGTCACCAAATTACTTTCTACACTACACTGTTATCTGATTTTTTTCTGATTTTTCATGTTTTATTAAACAGATCCATACCAAGAAGAAGATTGGTATAGCTAAACAACATGGAGGCCTCTTTGTCTTGGTCGATCCTCCACTCACAAACACTGGCCCTTTATCCACCAATACTGATATCTGTCATCTGTCCAATAACATAGCATCTAATACTGTAGCATCCAGTAATATAGCATCCAATAATATAGCATCGAATATTGTAGCATCAACTTTGTATCAGTCTTGTTCTAATTCTGTCTCTTGTAATAATAATGACCACTTACTTTGGCATATTAGATTGGGTCACATTTCCTCCACAACTATGAAACAAATGTCTCTCAATTTTCCTTTTATTCCTTCTAAAGATGTATCACCATGTGATGTATGTCACTTTGCTAGGCAACGCAAATTGCCATTTCCTTCTAGTCATACAAAATCCAATAAATGTTCTGAATTACTGTGCATGGACATTTGGGGTCCAACATCACATGCTTCCATACATGGACACATATACTTCCTATCCATTGTTAATGACCATTCTAGATACACATGGGTAATATTCCTCAAATTTAAATCAGAAGTTCGATCTGCCATCCAACATTTCATTATTTTCCATGAAAAACAATTTGACACAAATGTAAAATGCATCAGAAGTGATAATGGTCCATAATTCATTATGCATGATTTTTTTAAAACCAAAGGCATTCTTCATCACACCACTTGTGTTGAAACCCCAGAACAAAATGGCATAGTGGAACGCAAACATCAACACATCATGAATATTGCTAGGGCCTTATCCTTTCAATCAAACATTCCTAAAACATATTGGAATTATGCAGTAGCACATTCTGTCCACCTCATAAACCGATTATGCACTCCACTCATTACACAACAAACTCCATATGAGGTCCTATATGGTAAGCAGCCATCCCTTACCCACCTAAAATCCTTTGGAAGTCTATGCTATGCATCCACTATACATTCACATCGCACTAAATTTGTTCCACGGGCTCATAAGTGTGTCTTTCTTAGATACCAAGAAGGCACAAAAGGATATCTCCTCCTTGGATTACCTTCCCACAAATTATTTTTATCTCGTCATGTTAATTTCTATGAGCTTCATTTTCCCTTTGTGAATCCATCTACTATAATTACACAGACCTCTCCCATTTTTCCTTGTTCACCATCCATTGTTTTTGATGATTTTCCTGTTTTCAATCATTCATTACAACCTCAACTCCTCCCTACAACACAGACACACTCTCCTGTCACTAATAATGATGCTACTACCCCTACCCGTCGATCATCCAGGAAAAGGAAACTTCCAAATTATCTTTTGGATTATCACTGCAACCATGTTGTTTTAGCCACCCAACCTTCTCCAGGTATCCGTTACCCTTTGTCACATGTTTTGTCCTATTCTAATTGTTCACCTTCTTATACACGTTTTTGTTTCAACACTATCACTGAACCGAAATCATACACTGAGGCATGAAAACTTCAATGTTGACAAGAAGCCATGGCAGCTGAAATTTCTGCATTAGACATGAACCATACTTGGGAGATTGTCCAGCTCCCACCTGGGAAACATACGGTTGGTTGTAAATGGGTGTATAAAGTGAAGTATAGAGCTGATGGCACTGTTGAACGATGTAAGGCACAGTTGGTTGCCAAAGGATACACCCAGTTGGAGAAGGTAGACTATTTCGACACTTTTAGTCCGGTTGCAAAGATGACCACTATCCGTACGCTTCTTTCGATTGCTGCTGCTAAAAATTGGGTCCTTGAACAACTTGATGTCAACAATGCATTCTTGCATGGTGACTTGAATGAGGAGGTTTTCATGGCACTCCCACCTGGTGTTCACGCTCCCTCTGGTATAGTATGTCATCTTCACAAGTCCCTCTATGGCCTTAAGCAGGCTAGCCGCCAGTGGCATTCCAAATTAACCAGTGCTTTGGTTTCACTTGGCTACATTCAATCTGCTGCTGACCCATCTCTGTTTACTGAGCACCATTTTGGCTCTTTCACTGCACTTCTTATCTATGTCGATGATATAGTGTTGGAAGGTGATAGCTCTGATGAAATTCAACGCGTGAAAGCAGCTTTGGACAACCAGTTTCGTATCAAGAATTTAGGCTCTCTCATATTCTTCTTGGGCCTGAAAATTTCTCGAAATAAAACTGGCATTGCTATCAATCAAAGAAAGTACGCTTTGGAAATTTTATCTGATGTTGGCTTTCTTGGTTCTAAGCCTTCTTCAACTCCAATGGTCTCTTCCACTCGTCTGTCGCGTCTTACTGGCACTCTCCTGCCTGAACCTGAAGCTTCTTCATATAGACGTTTGGTTGGTCGATTGCTGTACTTGACAACTACTCGTCCAGATATTTCCTTTCCAGTTCAGCAGTTGAGTCAGTTCGTTAGTGCTCCTACTTCATATCACTATGCTGCTGCTACTCGTGTGTTGCGTTACTTAAAAGGATGTCCTGCAACTGGCTTATTCTTTGCTTCTAATTCTTCTCTACAGTTAAGTGGTTTCTCCGATTCCGATTGGGCGTGTTGCCCCGATACTAGAAGGTCTATCACTGGCTTATGTGTCTTCCTTGGTTTTTCGTTGATTGCTTCGCATTCCAAGAAGCAACCAACAGTGTCTCGATCCTCTAGTGAAGCTGAATATAGGGCCCTTGCATCCATCACATGTGAACTTCAATGGATTACTTATCTCCTTCATGATCTTGATGTTCCATGTAATTCTGCTGCTCCTGTATATTGTGACAATGTCTCTGCTATTTATCTAGCAAAGAATCCTACTCTTCATGAACGGTCCAAGCACATTGAGCTTGACATCCATGTCACTCGCGAGAAACTGCATTCTGGTCTCCTGCGCCTTTTCCCAGTATCTTCTTCTGCTCAGTTGGCGGATCTTTTTACCAAAGCCCTTCGTCTAGCTCTTTTTGCTATCATGGTTGGCAAGCTGGGTCTTCGTGATGTCCATCGTCCCGCTTGTGGGGGGGTATCAACGAATATACCAGAACCTGAAGCTTCTTCACTGACTTCACAGATTGCTGATGTGTAACTATAGTGTTAACATAGATAGCTGGCGTGTCTTGATTCTATTAGCTTCTAGTTTCATGGAGTTAGTTGTGCATTCAGTTTCATAAGTAGTTACAATAGTTTTAACAGTTGCTTAGTTGTAGCTTAGTCAGTTTAACTATATGCATAGCTTCCATGCATAGCTTCCTCTTCCTTCTGTTGTGGTATATAACCAAGTTTGTAACTCATTCATCAATTATCTTCAATAATATGAATTCCAGAAATATTCTCTCTGATAACACATTAACTCGTATAAAACATTTTCTTAACAATATCTTTTTTGTAAAAAAAAAAAATGAGAAAATAATTAAAGAAGAAATATGTGAAAAAACATTATCTTTATCATTTCATTGGGATATTATACAATTAAGTGAGTGGCTTCTCATGAGAAAATCTTAACAAAGAAATACTCTATCAGAGTGACTTCTTACCAAATCATACATATGATATTCAAACCTAATATTCATTCTTGCGGCAACAATTTTCGTTCATTTCTCCCCTAAAAACGAGGTGTGTTTCGTATTGCTACTCGTAATCGATTTGTTACTCATATATTAAAAATATACATGTTTTATGTATAAAAAAATAAAAAATGTACATGTACCCCAGATCCGGGTCAACAATGAGCAAGATAGCAGGATTACACAACGAAGACAAATAGTTGAAGAATGTGAGATAATAATTAAAAGATCTATCTTTCAGATTTTTTATTTAATTTAATTCGGATTTTACTCTCATATGTGAGAAACCTGATCCTTAGCAAAAATCTTCAATTATATTAAGTGACATGACACTAAGCAACATAAATATAATGAGCTCTCAGGTGAATCAAATGAAGCTCGCGGCGGAGATCAACATGAATGGAATAAATTAGATCAATCACATTAACTGAGCTCAATATCATATCTCAACCCAACATTTCAAGACATTGAGTTTATGTGACCTTCCACTGGATTTTACTTAATTCATTACCAATCAATATGAGATTTTATTACACTTGAATATCTCAACAATCAGATTTCCGATCAGTTCAATACAATTAACCAAAAAAAAAATCACTTCTATGTATTTGTCCCCGATATTCATTATCTTAATTCATATATAAAACTGTAAAAATGTCAAATTTATTAATATGATCAATATAAAACAAAAATTTGTTAAATTTAGATCATTGATTAATATACCATACTTTCTCCAAATCTAGTACATGAATATGTGCCATCAATATCTTCTAGTTGAGAAACTTATTCCATCCCCCTCTTAAGTTTGTCATTTGAGCTTAACGACTTGAATCACAACTACTCACTAAAAACTTACATTACCGAACAAGAACAAAGATAAGAAAAATTACTCCTCCCCACCAATGCTTTGATTATACCACCCCCAAAGGAAAATTACAATTCACATTGACATCGATAGAAAAAAAAAAAAAAAATCTAAAACAAAGTTAGTTTATCATGGAGAATTTATATTGTCAAAGATATCAGCAGGAGGAATGAAATGATCCATGGAGAGTCCAGGTACATTAAACATAACATCATCAATAGTCCAGGTCTCTTCCATCCTGGTTCTGCTATGCTGCATCGAGAGTTCACCAAACCGGAACACCGTCGCGATGGATCGCCCTTGATGCGCGATCAAGACCCCATCAACGTCTCTATAGTCGCCGATGCTGCTTCCTATGGTGGTCTCCCAATACACCGTATCATTCTCTTGGGTTGGAACCCTTGTGAGGTGTGAGTCTTCCAAATATATGAGGAGCCCACTCTTTTGGCAAAAGTAGCCATATAGTATGTGCCTTATCACCTCTGCGGGCCCCTCACTCCTTTCAATCACGGCCGCACGATCAGCGCAAACCTTTAACACAAAGCAATCAACTGTCCCGATTCGATTCTCGCCCAAGCATTGTGCATTTGTGAATAAACTTGCTGTGCTCTTCGGATCCAAGCCCTGTAACGTGCATCAAGAAAACACAAGGCCTTGATTTAGTTATATGTATTATTAAATTTGATGAAAGATATATAATATTCTTAGCTGTTGTTGTATATTCAAATTAAGGTTTTCCTTGCTCTATGAAATCCTTACCAAAAATATAACAAAACTTATGTATAATGTATAATGTGTTGCAAAATCTTATTATCTCTATTTTCAGGGAAGACCCGAATATCGTTGGTGATGTCAATTATGATGTTTTTATATCTCTAATTTCTTGTTTACCCTTCATTATAATAATATGCAAAATATAATATAACTATCAAGAACGTGAATCAATTGATAAGGCGTTATTTTAGCTTAATTAATGATATAAGTTTAAGAATATCTAATAGCCCAATATATCACACATTGAGTTTATTTATCATTTAATATTCTATTTACAATATTTTAAAAAAAAATTAATCAAACTTGCTGTTCATAGTTAACGAGGAAAACCAATGATATCTTATCCTAAGCCTAACATTGTTGACGGGAGAAACAAGTACAAATGGGAAAGGGGATATTTAGGCATGAAAGCAGGGGCAATAATGGAGTGGAGGAAGGACTATTCATTAAAGTGCAAAAAGGAAAAGTTAAAGCAAAAGGATTATTCAGGGTATCCTTAGCTACCTGCAAATAAGTTGCAATCCCAAGATCATGACTCATGAGACATGACAATAATCATAGATGACGTCAGATTGACAATCACGTGGCATGTAAGTATCCTAATTCCTAAAGAAACAAGTCCCCATTTGTAGGGTAAAGCGTGGGACAGTTTCTCCATCATTGTCAGCTCGAAATATACCATTCATTGGGATTTCAATTTGTTTCTCAATCTTTATCTTTGTTTGGTACAACTTGCTTTGAACCCTAGGGCTTTGTCCCCCCCAAGCCTCAATTCCAACAATTAAAGCCTACCCACCAACCAATTCACAACTAGTTCAAATTTTGTTTGGAACCTAATAAAATAGACAATAAAAGTTTTTTTTTTTTTTTTTGTTAATAAAATTTCTTTGTACCAAGACAAGCGTTAACTTATATAGAAAAATGGGTCTCTAAGAAATCAGTCACATTCTTTTCTATAATGCTATACAGTTATTGAAATTTGTGTGGTACTTAATTAATGAGATAATTAAGTTACACATAATTACCCATTTGTGTGGTTATACCTGAATAATGCGACGCAATGGGCGTTGGGGGCCTTTGGCTGCGTGTGTTCCTAGCCATGGTGTGTGTCGCCACACGGTTTTGCCATTGCTACCAGCAACCACCTTATGGCCACCAACCACCAATTCAAGTGACCACATTCCTGGTTGCATTTGCCAAAGAACAAAGCATCCATTTTCACTGCTTCTTGTCCCTAAACACTTGACATTCTTCCCAGACGAAATCTCAGTCTCACAGCGAATCATCTTCACCATCCCAGTTGCATACATATTTTTAGTGTCCTTTTGCTGTTTTAGGCACCCAGTTGCAGCCAAATACTGCTGTATAATGTATTTGGCAGTTGAAGTTTCCTGTTTCAAGTCACATCAACCAAAAAAATTACTCAACCATATCATACAAAAATGATATTTCGTTAATTAAATGGCAAATATCTGTGCATGAGTGCTTTACTCTTTCGAGTGAATTTTTATATGGAATCTTATCCTTATATTTTTATAAGAGAAATGGTCATAAAGAAACAATTTTATTATTGGCGAAGGCTTGTCCTCTTATAAACATAAAAAAGAGCATAAAAAAAGAAGAAGAAGAAAAATTGCAACATTAGAGAGAGCTTACAAATGGGGTATCTTTGATGTGAATGCTAAGAGTGGGATCATGGGCAGAGGGAATTGGAGCCAGAGGACAGCCCAATACACCAAGCAATAACCTCAAATCTTGTGTCTTGGCATGCATAGTTCCATAGAATGATTGTGAAAAGCTGCTTCCAGGGGAGATCTTCTGAGTCCTGAACCATTCCCTTATGACTTCCCAAGAGCTCTCTTTTTTGGTTCCTTCTTCTTGCATCTCAGGATCAGGGCCTTCCATTAAGGGTGTCAATGGCTGTGGAGCCCAACTCTGGCGCCAACGTGATCTAGAACCCATTTGTGGTAAGAGTCTAAGAATAATTAAGAGGAGGGAATTGAATGCAGGTGAAGATAGTGAGAATGATACAAGGAGGAAAAGAAAGAGGTATCAGAAAGTAGATGCAGTTTTGGAGTTTAAAAGAGAGAGAGAGAGAGAGAGTATAAGGGAGTGATAGTTAGCATATTGTAATGTGTGGGGGAAGAGACAAAAGCGACATATTATCTGTTCAACGGCAGAGACATGACATTAATTATAATAATACAAACTCGCATGTTGGGCTGTCTATTGCTTTATTCCACTTGCTTTGGGACTCACTCTTGTCGTTACATTTTTATACTATTAACTATTTCTTTTATTCTCTCCATTTACCTATTTCCCATGCCACCACTGGTCGCTTGGGGATTGGCCTACCACTTTTGAAGTTTGATCAATTACTATCTCTCTCCATTTCTAAATTATCCATTATTTTTTTGTAGGATTAATATTTTTTATGTGGTATAATATAATTTTATCTCTTACACATATAAAAGTATGTGAGATTCATATTTTTTTTCTTTTCTCCTCGTATGACCTCACATGATCAGCTTCATACACTTTTATATGTATGTATGAGATAAAATTATATACTACAACATGAGAAATATTAAACTTATTTTTTAATATTTGATTTTTAGACCTTTATAACTTGTCATATATTTATTGATTCTTCGTTGATACACACTAATTCTTAGGCAAAAAAATTAATTTATACTTTTTTAATAAAAAATTACGAATAAGTAGTCGTTTTGCAAAATATTACGAATCTATAGCACCTAAACACGCCCATATGAGGCGTGTTGTCATGGAGAGAGACACGCCCATGTGGGGCGTGAGCTACTGAAGGGGACACGCCCAATGTAGGGCGTGAGTGGTAGGAAAGAGACACGCCTCTTATGGGGCATAAGCTGTGATGGTAGACACGCCAACATAGGCGTGTTCCACTGGAAGGTCACGCCCAATATGGGCGTGAGTGACTAAACTGCAGTCTATTTAAACACCCACCCCTACACACTCTTCACAACTCTCTCATTGCTATGCTTAAACTCTCTGATAGTTTGCACTTGTTTACTCATATTTTGTTTTATCTTTTTAAATGGTGATTGGGAGGAATCCTATGCATTTTTACCCAGCTGGTGTGAATATATGCTTCGTTTTTCACCATGTTCCTTTTACAATATTCAAACAAAGGATTGTTTTGTTGCGGGGCAGTTGGTTCCCGGAAAACGTGTATTTGTTCGTTGTTTCTGGACTTTCAGACAATGTTGTGAGGCATTTAAATTTTGCAAACCAATGATACAAATTGATGGCACTCATCTATACAAAAAATATAAGGGAAAGTTGTTGATTGCCACAACTCAAGATGGTAATAATGAATGTGTGCCACTTGCATTTGTCGTTGTTGAGGGTGAGCCATTGGAGGCTTGGTCATACTTCCTTGCCAATCTTCGTCAGCACGTCACACAAGCGCAGAATATATGTCTAATTTCAGACCGGCATGTTAGCATATTATCGGCTATTGAAAATAATCCCCTATGGCAGCCATCTCATGCATTTCATGTGTTTTGCCTGCGACATGTTGCAAGCAATTTTAATCAACGATTTAGAAATGACAAATTGAAGGCTAGCCTGATGAATATAGGTATGTTGCACACTATGATTGGTGAATTAAAATGTTGTAGTTTTTCGTTAAGCGTCAACTGTGTGTTTTTTAAATTGTTCGTAGGATATACTCCTTGCATGGTGGATTTTGAGAGGTCGCTGGCACGATTTCGTGACACAAGCAGACAGGTAGCGGAATGGATTGATGACATCCCTAAGGAAAAGTGGTCGCGTGCACATGACCTTGATGGACGAAGATTTGGGCATATGACAACAAACTTGGCAGAATCCATAAACAGGGTGTTAAAGGGAGCAAGAAACATGCCCATTACTAGTCTGGTAAAATTTACATACAGTAGATTGGTCCAATATTGCGTGGAAAGAGGTCAATCGGCTTGTAGACAACTTGAATCTGGTCATACTTATTGCAAAAATGTGATTGAATCATTGACACATAATGAATCCGTGGTAACAATGCATACTGTGCGTACATATAATGTTGATGAAACTGTTTTTGAGGTGGATACAGGGTTTGAAAGGACATATGTTGTCAACCTTACTGCTCGTACATGCCAATGTGGACAATTTAAAGCATTTAAATATCCTTGTAGTCACGCCGTTGCTGCAGCGTTATCCATTCGTCGGAATTATCGACAATATATAGATGATTTTTTCAAGACGTCAAACTTGGTAAAGGCGTACTCATTTCCATGGGAACCAATCAGCAATGAGCAAGCAATTCCACCCAATGCAGGTCCTGTGGTAATACCGGATAAAAATATGTTGCGGGCAAAAGATCGTCCATAGTCTACAAGAATACGGAACGAGATGGATGATGTTGAAACTATTACATCACGAAGGTTATGTGGTCTTTGTAAGCAACACGGGCACAATCGTAGGTCGTGTCCTAACCGTGGAAATAATGCATGATATGACTTGTGGGTGTTTGTCACTTATGAACAATTATTTTGCAATTAAAATGTATCGCTCTATTTTTTAAAATTAGCTTTTATGGTGATTGTGTGGTTTGCTTGCATATAACATATAACATCGCATACATAAAAATTATTTGTTTACTCCTTGCATGCTAATAGAAATATTCAAAAAACAGTCCACAATAGTCAGCGATAGCACAATACACAATAACAACAGTCCCAAAAAAACAGTCAATACATCAGTCCATCTATCTAAACGAAAACATAAAATAAAACTACGACCAACGAGACCATGGCCTATCACGTGGCTGACGTGGGGGTAATCGACGCCTAGGCAGAGCCTCTATAGCCTGTGCAAATGCGTCAAGTTAAAAACCCATATATATAGACCACGGAGAACACGCCCATCAGAGGCGTGTCTCTCTCCTGCCACACACGCCCTACATTGGGCGTGTCCCCTTCAGTAGCTCACGCCCCACATGGGCGTGTCTCTCTCCATGAGAACACGCCCCATGTGGGCGTGTTTGGGTGCTATAGATTCGTAATATTTTGCAAAACGACTACTTATTCGTAATTTTTTATTAAAAAAGTAATAAATTAATTTTTTTGCCGTAATTCTTATTGTACTTAATCATTTTTATCTTACCTTTAATATGTAAATAAGATTGATTTATGTGCAGAGACTGCTTACTTTTAGGGCTGGCAAAATGGGCTGAGCCCGCCGGGCTGGCCCGCCCCGCCTTCCAAATGGGGCGGGGTGGGTTGAGTTTTTCAACCCACCAGCCCGCCTAACCCGCCCCGCCAAACCCATCAGCCCGCTGGGCTCGGCCCGCCACGGGGAAGGCTAGCCCGCCAAACCCTTTTTTTTTATATATTACCCAAATCAAATAAGATCAAATTATCAAAACATTTTTTTCACACACGCAAACAATCAGGCACCTCGTTATTTTTGCAAGGATGGTCACCGCTGAATGTAACTAATTTTTATTATTCAAATAGAGTAATGTATTTGAGTTTGATTTTTATTTTGTTCCTTATGGTTTCTCATATATACCCTTAGAATTTTTGTTGGACTTTCATATGCACATTAGGATTTTATGCAGATTTTTTTATGAATTTTTTTATATTTTTAAGAATTTTGTATGCAGATTTTATATTTTATATTTTATTTTTATAATTTTTTTTTATTTTAGGCGGGTTGGCCTGTAGCCCGCCAGCCCACTCATAAAACGGGTCAGGTTGCTCAATTCAGCCCATTTTGTCAAAACGGGCCGAGGCGGGCCAGCCAATTTTCGGTGGGCCAGTGGCGGGCCGGGGCGGGCCAACCCATATTGCCAACCCTATTTACTTTGTGTAAATGTATCTTCTTTATTCACGAATCCTGCAGTTTCATCTTATAATTTACACAAACAGACATTTTTGCGTTGCATATATATATATGTTGTGCGAGTAACGTGATTTAAAAAGGATCTGTGATGACAATTTTGTATAATTATACTCATACATTGTTTTATTATACTCAATTTTGTATAATTATACTCAGGCAGAAATGAGAATTCAATATTCTTGTTTACGTAATTCTCATCTCTTATTGTTTGTGTAAAACTGAGAGTTAATAAGTTTATATAACAATAGCATAGGATCAAATCCCCTAATTAATAATAGAAACAAATATATAGCTAAATTACTGCAAGACAACTAAAGCAATTCCCTAATTGATTGGAAAGCAATTTAACAATAGTATGGATCTAGAAAGGCTTAATATGATAATCATTCAAGTGGCTATTTGTCTATGGAGAAATGACCTGAGTTTTCAATTTCGGATGCAGGTTGCATTAACGAGGGATCGTGAAGGGTTGTAGACAGGGGTGTAAATAAGTTGGATTGCGCTAAGTTTTGATCAAAATAGGTTAGGTTTATGCAAAATATTTTGAGTCTAGTTAGACCTATTAGCATGTTGTAGGCTATCACTACTAGAAATGTCATTATTATCGACGGAATTTTCCGACAGAAAAAATTTCGTTAAAATTATTGACGAATTTTTTCAAGAAATCTGTTTTTCGTAAAATATTTTGACAGAAAATAAATTCCGTCAAAAAATTTCAACGGAATTCCAATTCCGTCATAGATTTTCGACGGAAAAAAAAATCAGTCGAAATGTTTTGAAAAAAATAAAAGAAAAAAAATTATATTTTGTGGACTTTTCGACGGAATTTCGATTCCGTCGAAGATTCTCGACGGAAAAATAATTTCGACGAAGATGTTCGACGGAAAAGAAATTCCGTCGAAATATTTTGAAAAAAAATAAAAGAAAAAGAAAATATATTTTGTGGACTTTTTGACGGAATTCCGATTCCGTCTAAGATTTTCGACGGAATAGGAATTCCGTCGAAAACTTATGAAAAAAATTAAAGAAAAAAAAATTATATTTTGTGGACTTATCGA